ATATCAGGCCTTCATCATCCCCACAGCCCTTGGGCCCCTAATAACCAGAGTGGTTCCCATTCCTGTACAAAATACATCCTGACCAAAGGCACAGTAAATGGGCTTCTTGGCCGGGCACTCAGCCAATGTTGGAGCTGTTAGGAAGTAAAAATGTGTGTATTTATTGAGAAAAATAAAAACGTGCATGCAAAGATGCATAGAGATGATTTATGAGGTTTTATGGACATGTCAGCACAGGCCCACTCAGTCACTGCCAGGGTCAGGACTGCTAAACCTGGGCACTCAGGCAGTAAGCTTCCTATGGAGGCAATAGGCAGGACACACTGATAGACGGGATACAAGCCCTAGGGAGCCGTAGGAGCACCTGAGTGGGGGGGAGCCAAGATCGCTTTGAGTGTAAGTGTGTGCATGGATAAACATAAATAGCTACACACTTTTGGGTGTGCAAGAGATTGCGCATGGGTGGGCCCAAGAAGGCACAACCTGGGCCAGCCCACCCGTGGCTGGGAGGAGAGGCTGAGCAGAAGAGAACTCAATACTGACACTGCCTTCAAAAGACAGCAGAGTCCTTGATACCAAGGAAGAGGGCTAGACATCACCTACATTAAGATGAAAGGTTTTAGAGGTGCAAAGAAAAGCTGATTCTCAGGGGAAAGGCCTTTGAGCTAAGCATGCTAAAGTGGATAGTTTCTGGCAAAAGGGCAAAGAAATGGGGTCCTAACCTGCTCTTCCCCTCTCCTGGACTTAAACCTCCCATTGATGCTGCTGCCTTTATGTTTCTTTCTTTCTTTTTTTTCTTTTTTTTCTTTTCTCTTTTGTACCAGGAATCGAGATCAGGACCTTGCATTTGTGAAGCAGGCGGCAGCACCACTGAGCTACATCCGCTGTGCTATGCTTCTATCTTTCAAGCTTTTGGGAGTTCTGTGACTTAGCCTAAACCCTGTTACTCCCCTGGCAGCACTGCCTTGTTCCCTCAGTTGCCTTATCAACGTGAGAAGTTTCTGTGTAAAAAAAGCAGCCTTTCCACCAAGCCCACAGGCAGCAAGGACATGCTCTCTGTTTTCTGAAGGTGATCTTTTGTAGGAGAAGCTTCAGGAAGGTACATAGAAGGTGTGTTAATACAAGAAAAAGGAGGAGAAAGAGAAGAAGGGCATGGAGAAGAAGGAAGAACATCAAAAGGAAAGAAAAAAAAGAAAGGCTTCCAGAATCACACAGTCCATCTTCGTAAAACTGGCCGTAGACCACAACCCACAGTCTTACAGACCATGGGAGAAGGAGGGCTGCCTGCTTCCTCCCTCCCATGCATTTCTCTGCAGCAATGAGGGGATCATAGTTTTGCAAGATCCCTTTGGTTGCTTGAGACATGCCACTATCACATGCATTTCCTCAGACATGTGAGGACAGTCACTTCCCTACGAGATGGGGAGGAGTCTCCCAGGAAAGTGTGTTTTGTGAAATGAAGCTAGTCCTTCCAGTTGATTGAACTTCACGTGGCAAGATGTTTGGCCCAGCTTGGAGTCTACGGTTAGGGACCGGGACTCTGACTGCCATGAGCTGCATCCTTGGCTGTGTGCTTTTCTGTACTCCAGTTATCACCTGCCCAAAGCCTGAATGAGGAAATTAAGTATAACTTGGCGTAGGCTAGGCTTTGGAGTCCTCAGGAGGCTGTGACATCTGGTCAAGAGCATAAAGCTGGCAAATGGCAGAGCTCTCTTCCATGTGGATACTGATACCCCTACCTCTAATAAATCGGCACCAACTGTCTCTCTGACTCAGACTTTTTATTTGTTTGTTTGTTTGTTTTTGGTACCGGGGATTGAATTCGGGTCCTTGTGCTTGCAAGGCAGGCCACCGAAATGCTGAGCTAAATCCCCGGCCCTGACTCAGACTTTTTAAAGCACTCCCTGTTTATCTCTCTCCCCATCCTATAGATCACTCCCGCAAGTGAGGGACCAGCTCCACCCTCCTCATCCCAAGGGTCAGCACAGGCTAGCACAGAAGAGGAGAAACCTGTGGGTGACATGCAAAGGAAGGATGAAGAAATATCCATGCAACTGAGTTTCTAACCAGTGCTGCCACTTCTAACTTCAAGAGCTATTTAAGGCTCCTTGAGGGCCAGCAGGGAGTTGAAACAGCCCACATCTCAACAACCTGAGCCTTGCAGATTTTCCATCCTCACAATTTGTCCCATTCCTGCGTCAGAGCATCTCCGGGTAGGCAGAAAATAGGACTGCCAAATAAATCAGCTTCAGGCCCCAGACCACAACTTCAACCAGAGAAGGCCCCTACACCGGTAGAACGTGAATGTTGCCTCTCACTCAGTCACAGTAGTTCCGAGCTAGACAGGGTGGGATCTGTTCATCTCTATGCCTGCTCCCCACCCTAGGGACAGGAGCCCAGTCTACCACACAGTGGGCTCATGATGAGAGGACCCAATGACCATGGTGCCTGCAGAGATCCACAAAGTCATATCATGGAGCTGATTTGCTTAGAATGTGTGGGAACCAGGGCTGGATTGATTCCCATTGCAGAAAGTCCTGGCGCCATCACTAGAATGCCTAGAAACAAGAAAGTTAGTGGATAGATCTCAGTTACTGACGTGACTGACCTCGGTCCTTCCCTCAAATCCTTTGCAGGCCATTGCTTGGGTTTGCAAAACTGGTAACCACCTATGGAGAGTCTTGAATGTGAGTAAATATAAAATTATAAACTCTTTAAAATGCAGTGTAGTACAATGGTAATTCGCAAACTTACATGTGCAGAGAAAGCTCCAAGGAGCCTTGTCAAGCTGCAGGTTCTGATTCCACAGGCCCGAGATAAAACTTTATGCTGGATTTCTGAACAGCTCTTGGGTGGATCTCCTGGTCCCTGGATAACTTGTAGAACTGAACAACTCAAGTTTAAAATGGCTCATGCTGGTGAATCCAAGATTCCACTCCCCTATTTCAGTACTCAGAAGCCATGTCCATTTAGAAATATCCAAACACCTAACCTTGCAAGATTTCTCTTCAGGCAGAACCCGATTGTACCCCCAAAGCCAGTTGCATCAGAGGCTTATCCAGCTCTATTCTTCCCCACCCACCCTTTACTGCTACTGGTCCCCCTACCTGAGGTGCCCTTTTCCTTCTTTGAGGCTTACAAATTCCTATTCATCCTTCCTCATTCCGTCCCTAATGCTCATTCTGTTCCTACTACTGGCTACTTATATGAGCTTAAAAAAATTACTTAAACTTTCATCCATACAATGGCTTACCCAGAAGAGAGATTTTTAAATATTAAAGAAATGATACATTTAATATATTTAGCAAGGTACCCAAGACATACTAGGAAATCAAAAATTAAATTGATATCACTCTCTCCTATAAAATCTTCCTGGAATTTTTCCATTTTCCTAATTTCTCAGGGATTCTACACTATTTGCCTCTGACTTCTACGATGGCTCTTATCTCCAGCTTGCGAAGACCTCTTGGCTGCACCGTCTTGCCCAAGAAGTCAAACCACTTGGAGGCCTGACCATGTCTGCTGTCTCAGAATCTCATGAAGAGACAAGCATGGAGTGAACCCTCAGCAAGTAAAGAACCAGAGGTAGAGTGCTCCAGATCAGAGGGTGGCATCCCACAAGAGCTGCACAGTTAGTCAATTAAGGAAAGCAGTAGCTGAGATTCCCTGATAATTGATAAGTTCATATCCCAGAAAAACATTCTTCTTTACTTTTGAACAATTTTTCAAAATATTCCTAAGTAGGTTGCTCCAACAAAACACAGTCGTTCTAATTTAACCCATCTCCAGTGACTGGAGACATCAAAAGGGTACCAATCATTGCAGCAATAGGCCGACTGCACGCTCAGCTTGTCTGGGGCTGTTCTGCTCTGCACACATGTCTGGTGTTCATAGCCCCCCTTTCATTCTTTTCCTGCTTCCTAGTCTGAACAAGAAATTATCGGTCATGCTGGATCAGAGCGACACTCTAAGAGACCCTTAAATGACTATGGTTTGCTATGGGCCCCTAAAATCATGGCCCCAAGACTGACATTCTTCCAATTGACAGATAGAATCTCTGCCCCTCCTGGAGATCTAGGCAGGTTTATGAAACCTTGTCCAGTAGCACATAGCAAAAGTGGCCCTGTGGGAGTTGCTAAGCCCGGGCCTTTAAAATTCTACCTCCTGTCTCTTAGACTGCTTGCTCTCAGAACTCAGCCCCCAAACCAAGTAAGGCTTGCCGTTTTCAGTTGCCTGACTATGGGTATCTTTCAGTAAGAACACATAATCAAGCAGATCTGTGAGGTACTTCAGGAACAATGGCTTCGGCAGTGCTGGAACTAGTTAGACGCAGTCTCCTGCGCTTCTCCTAAGGACCCAGCTAACAGTAGCTTCTCCTGGAGACCACACTGAAAGACCACAAGACTCGCTGGGTTTGAGTTTGTGAAACAACATGGGAATTACTTCTCCCTGAGCCTCAGTTTCACCATCCATAAACTAGAGATAGCTTTACTTATGTCCTTATGTCACAATAACAAATGTAAAGGGGAGATTGGCAGGTTTTATTTCTGAAGAGCCAGCGAACAAATGTCTTAGGCTTTCAGAATTATATCATTTCTGTCACCGTTGCCCAGATCTGCCGTCCATAGTCATAAGAAAGGATACAGATATAAATGAATTGACGCGACCGTGTTCCAAACAAAATTTATTTACAAAAACAAGATTTAGATGGCAGAACCCTGACATAACGATCAGGAAAGTTCCTAGCATCAATGCTAGCTACCATCAGCATCAGTATTCATATTATCAATATAAGTATAACTTTCTTTAAGCAGAAAATTTTGCTAGGGATTTCACCATCCCAGTGACCACAGGGTTCACCAGTGCTCACCCTGGGATAATTAGCAGTAAACCTAGTAACAAGATGAGTCACTCCAAAAGGGTGACATGGAGGGTTTCCATAAACTGCCTGGTCACCTTCTGTCTGTGCAATAGTGACCATGAAAGTCATGAAGCCCCTTGGTTCAAGGTATTTGATCTTCTGTGGTGATTGCGTATTGCAGCCCTTGGCAGGTAACTGATACTTCATATCCAGAGTTCAGAGATTGTCTTATATGCCTGTCCATGCTTTCAGATGGAAGCCCGTGAGTAGGGAGCTCAGAGGAGCTCAGCTTTAGGATAAAATACAGAAGTGACAAAAGGAGGGGGAGAGGGAGGGCCAGGGGGAGGGAGCATCCAGAGGAAACGAGGCGCTCACAAATCCCATCTCTCATGGATGCCCCACTTGTCCAACGTTCTTTCAGTTCTAGGTTTTGACTGCAACCAAGTGCCGGGTCCCAGGCTAGGAGAGGAGCAGCTAGCAGTGACCTGGGCCTCAAGCCCTGCCCTCCTGGATAAGGCCACGGCAGTAAGGGGAAAGACCATGAGGGAAGACATGGCAGCAGTGAAAAGGGAAGTGGAGGGTGGGGAGACACTTCTGAGGGTGGGGGGTCCAGCCTAAGCTGGGGTCAGAGAAGGGCTCCCCAAGGAAATGACTTAGAAGCCAAGACCAGAAGGATGTGTGGGGATTAGTCACCCTCCCTGACTTCCTCTCCTCTTTGGGTCCACCCCCCTTCGGATGAAGGAGCCTCCTGATATCGGCCACACACCCAGTCACCCCTCAGCTCCTGTCTTACACAAACCATCGCTTACCCACACTGCCTTTGAAATAGCCTTTTCCCTCACCTGAATTTGAACCTGAAATTTCAGTGCTTTTAGGATAAAACCAAGGCCTTATCGTGGTTCACTAACTCTCTCTCTCTTATTGGTAACTCTGTTCTAGCCACCCAACATTTTCTTCCTGACCTTGCTGCCACAGGCCCTCTGCATGTACTGTTATCTCTATCTAGAATACTTCACCTTCTCCTAGTTACCTAGCTAACTCTTACTTATCTTTCAGGTCTTGGATTGCTAATTTCCTCAGAACAGATTTCTATGACCTTCCTAACTGATTAGAAGCTTCAATTTTTAAGCTTTCGAATTTCATAGATCCCTGTCCTTAGCAGTTACTATAGTTGCCATTCTCCATAGTCTGTGCAGCACGTATTAATTCCATGGGCCCGGTGTGTGTTCACAAATGAATTCAATAATGAAGCAAAGCACGGATGCCACGATGTCATCGTATTTCTCCTTTCAACCGCTAGAGAAGAAAAAATCCCCAGCCCGCTGAGCTCATCTGTGTGCTCTGGTGTGTGTTCACAATGGCAGCTGTGGCATGGCAAGGGGAAGAGAGAAAAACAAAAAAATCACCATGGAGTCAGGAGAGCCAAAGCAAATTCCCAATTCAAATTACTCTAAGTCTAAGTTTCCTCATCTGTAAAAAGGGCAAAACAATTCCCCAGTGTTCTGGGGGTGGGGGTGCGAGGCAGGAGGATCACGAGTTCAAGCTCAGCCTGGGCCATTTAGCACGTTAGTAAGACTGTGTCGCCAAATAAAAAACTAAAAAGCGGGTGGAGCTGGAGATACAGCTTGGTGCACAGGCCCTGGCTGCAACCCCTGGTACTGAAAAAAAAAGTGTAGGAGGACAGCATCTTCCCCCGAGATAAACCACTTAGACTTGCCGGGCATAATGCAACTACTTAAGGATGTTGTTTCTGGGAGTGTATCAGAGTCTATCCGAGAGCCAGGTAAGAGGTGTCCTGAGCCCGGTGGCTGATGCAGAGACCGCCTGGGGCAGGGAGCACAAGCCCACTCCGAGGGGCCCCGAGGGAGGACAGCTGGCTCTCCACATTGATCATCAGCCCCGCAGAGGGAACATTTGCCTTTCTTCCCCTTCCAAATAATTAAAGTATAATATTTTATGGCCTGATAAAATTTACTGGGACCCTTGGCACGTAATTATAGTGCTTCTTTAAAGGAGACCCCATAAAAGATGCATGATTAGAAAGTTAAGGATCTGGATAGAATTGCAAAGATGTGACAAATAATTTACAAGCGATAAACTGTCCAAGAGGAAAAAAATTCCAATAACTTCTGATGAAGGCTAACAATTAAAATAATAAATTCCCCAAGAGCAAGGGTAAACTCTTTTTCTTGGTCAAAGGCTTAAACTCCATGAGCTCCAGAGACCTTCTTGTCAAAGTCAAGTCCTGGTTTCCTGGGACATCTGTTCTTCCTTCTTTACATATTTGTTTCTGTACATAGGCATTTATTTTCTAAAATTTGAGTAATTCCTTTGTTCATTGACCTATCAATTTTACCCCTAGCCATTTTTCCCTTTGGTCATTTTATTCTTCCTCCATTCAGCTACCCTTCCACCCATTTTTCTCTTTATCAGCTCATGATCTAGCCATTTGTTCACTCTTACTTGTCCTTTGTTTATCCATTTACTTACCCACCCTCTCCTCATGAGTTGCTCACTTGTGCTAAGCAGATCCTTTCTTGTGCTCTGAGGCACTGCTCAATGCTCAGTAGAAACACGATGTGAACCACATTTACAATTTTACGTCTTCTAGTAGCCACACTCAATTTTTCAAAAACAAATAAAATCAATTTAAGTAATAATTCTATTAGCTAATAATTATTTTGTTATAACATTACATGAGCGCTCAGTATGTTTAACATGTTATTTCAGTATAAAACAAATACTATTTAACAAATTTCCTTAATCTCATTTAACTTGATTCATTTAAAGTATTATCATTTATGTCAACTTATAACCAATACAAAAATATGGAGTTACTTTGCACTCTTTCTGTACTGAGCATTTGAAATCCACTGTGCGTTTTACCCACGCAGCTGAGCTCAGTCTTGAGCAGCCGAATTCTAAGTGCTCTGTAGCCACCACACCACACACAACAGCGAAGCTGTAGACTGTCTCGAGCTCTGTATGGAACACACAGTTTTTGCCCTCGAAGAGGTCTCGCTGGGGTAAGGGTGGGTAAGGCACGATTTCATTGAATCTTGATACTTAAGCTCTTAGTCCATTTTCTGTTGTTATAATTGGATGACACCAACTGAGTAATTTACAAAGAATAAAAATCTCAGCTCACAAGTAAAGGCTGCAAAGTCCTACCTCAGGTAGCTGCACCTGTCAAGTCCTTCTTGCTGGTGGGGACTCTGCAAAGTCCCACTGCAAGGCAGGGCATCACCTGGTAACACAGAACATCCTCCTCCTCTTCTTATAAATCTACAGCCTCATTGGATTAGGACCCCACCCTTATAGCCTCATTTAACCTTAATTACTTCCCAAAGGTCACACCTCCAATTACCACAGTAGGATTAAGTTTCCACCCTCCCAATACCTCACAATGAGGACTAAATTTTAATATGATTTTCATCTTGACATATGGTGAGCTATAAGTATATGATCCTCCTGTTTTATATAGAGAGAGAGAGAAAAAGAAAGGGGTTTTCATTTTTTCTTTAAAAAAGGTACAAGAACAAGTCAGTTGAGTAGCAAATGCTCAGGTTGAGCCAGGCTATGCAGTTCCTACGCTCTTCAAGTATCTCTTCATGGAGACCGAGAGCCCTGAAAGAACACACCTTGGAGAAGAATGAGCCTACACAGGTTACAGCTGGGCTTTTGCACCTGCTATCATCTCCTATCCATTCATAACTCAGAGAACTAGAACTGTATGGCCAATTAACACCATGTCTCCACAGCCTGAAGATGGTGATGATGATGATGATGATGGTGGTGGTGGTGGTGGTGGTGGTGGTGACAACAATAAAATAGCAACTATTAAGAGAAATGATGATAAATAATGATCACATTACTAAGCATTTACTATAATGTTGCAAGCACTTTCCCTGCATGGATTCAATCACCCTTACGTTAGAGAAGAGAGAACAAGCCAAAGCCGAAGCCACCGCCCTGCCAAGCAGGTGTTACTCACATAAACCTTCATCATGAGCATTTAACTGGTACCTGCCTCAGCCAGAGAGTATAGAAGCTATGCGAGGTCACCAAGGGTGTGACACTTAGAACCTCTGTGTCATTGTTACCGAGAAGTACAAAGTCCAGTGAAGAAGAAGAATCAATGAACAAATAAAGGCTCTGAAGGATCCCAGGTACTGTGCTAGAGGCCCCTACATAGCAAAGTGGGGGACAGGGGGAATGAGCTGTCTCCTCTCCTTACAGGTGTGAGAGGTGGACATGAACCAGAAACCACAAAGATGTCTCTGAAACACTATTCAGGAAGTATTCTCTCTCCACTCTGCAGAACCCACTCTGCTCGGGTCCTCGGAGCACAGGCTTTGGCCAGGCCCCGCCAGGCCAATTTCCGTTCCCTCCTCGTTCCTTGCCCAGGATGGCTTGCTCACTCCATTGACTCCCCGGAGGCATGGGGCAGCTTTACACATATTAAGCGTCATCATGGATCAATGAGGAAATACAATCACTTGGGCTTCTGAGAATGTATATGTTTGTTTTAAAACTCCTGTCTTTCTTGGGTATAGGCAAAACACTGCCAGCGAAACACCTCCCAGAGATGTGCTGTGGGAATGATTTAATGACTTTAGCTGTCTGTAGCAATATCAATCAAAGGAGCTTCCCAGTAGCCTCTGCTTGGGAAGGAAAGAGATACTTGGCAGAGGAGTGGAAAGCAAGAGAGAGATCTGGGGTCAAAATTAGGTGGAGGCAGAGAGATAAAAGGGAGGAGAGAAGGAAAGCAAGGAACAGGAAGATAGCACGATGGTACCCAAAAATGGCAGGCTGAGAAAAAAACAATGCAGAGCTAGGGAGACTAAAAGGGCCAGAAAAGTAAGGAAGAAGAGAGACAGGGAGAGACAGGGCCAGATGTAATGAAGGAAACCCAAAACCGAGTAATGAAAGAGAGCAAAGGATGGCAGGGCAGGGGGACTGACAGGCACAGGAAGCAGCAGAGTGAGAGAGGAGGAGAAGAGAGGAGGCAGGGTATGTGTCTAGCAGCTGGAGCAACCCAGCCTCTGCTGCAGCCGCTGTGCTCATCCCTCTGCCTTCCCCAGCTCCAGCCCCTTCCATTGCTAGATTGCTCCCCTCTTCCTGGACCTTGCTGAACTGACACTTCCTGGAAAGGTTTCTGATGACCACTCCAGGAAACCAAGGTCTGTCCCACTCATCCCTACCCATGGCTCTGCCTCAGGACCGAACACCTATCTGATTCCTTTCACATAATTTATGAAAAGAAGTTACTTCCTTGGATTTTTATGATTTACTTGGGCTACCATGTTCTGGTTAAATTCCCAGGGTCCAGAACAATGTCTGGCAGAGAATAAATGATGCTTCATGATTGAAGGACAAGTGAATAAGTGAGTGAGTGAGTGAGTGAATGAGTGAGTGAATAAATAGCAGTGAACAGAATCACCACTGAGTCAACTCTTTTGCCACTCCAGTTACCCAAGCCGCAGAAGTGTGGTTTTAAGGCAGGGTTGGCTGTTGACAGGCAATGTGCGCACCTGTTCTCAGCACCTGGGCACAGGTGTGTCACCTGAGAGGGAGACCAAAATGGAGGAAGAGCACAGGAGCCCACATGTGAGTGCGGGGCTTCATACAGACTGACAAGAAATCTGGGGAGAAAGAAGTTCGGGAGCTGAACGATCTTTAAGGGCCCTTCTGGAGCTCCTTTTAAACAGAAATTTTTCCAACAACGACTTGACTTTATTGTAAGTTTGGAAATGGTCCTGGGGAACACAGTGAGTGATTCCCACATGCAGCCAAATTTCCTGCCTTAATGGGGCTCCCATCAGCCCCATTAAGCCTAAAGTTGCCTCCCTCCAACACAGAGCTCTTTGCTCTGCAGAAAGTGTGCTCAGAGACACCGGGCAAGATCAGCGCCTGCTGACCAACACAACAGAGCACTCCCAGGGAACCTTCCAGTCAACATCAGAGTGATTTGGCCTCTTTAAAATCCCTGATGAGGAATACTCAGCTTCCCGGAACCAGACAAAGGAAGTTACATATATTTGTATCTTGAGGCCAGCGTGGAACTGTGCTGTATTTGGGGAATTGCTGCAGAGACCTGGCTGCCAGAAATGCAGGAAGGCTGGACAGCCTGTTGGGAAGACTCTGGGCATGAAATCCCACAGATGGGGGCCTTGTCTGCTCACTTATAGGGCAAAGCAAGTTATGGCTTTTGCCTTGATGTCCCTCCCAAGTCCTAATACAGTCACAGAGGGAGCTTTTGCAGAGGTGGCTGGATGGAGAGTGTTTGACACTGGAACTGATTAATGGTACAACGCTAGGCTCAAAAACACTAGAACTAAGGATGTGAGTGCTACCTGCCTGGATAGGATGGATACAAGAGATGGAAAGAGCTGTGGTCGTCTCTCACTAGCTTTGCTACCTTCTGCCTACCATGAACTGTTTCTCCTCTGCAATGCCTGTCAGCCACCCACCCTGCCTTGGGGCCAGCCAATTATGGACTAAAACCCCGACAAACTGTGAGCTCAGTAAACCTTTCCTGCTTTAACTTTGGGTATCGGGTGTTTTGTCTCAGTAATGAGATAAAAATAACTAAAATGTGCGGTGACTCAGTTCAAATCGTGTTAGATGTAGCCCATACCTTCAGACATGCACCATGCCTTTTATTTTGTCTTTGACTTTCCTGTGTTTGCCCACATGCACAAATGTAACATAGTTGTGTGCATGGAGTAATTTCTAGCTCATATTCTGCTTTCCAGGTAGTATATTAAAAGTATCTTGTCTGTTCCTATAAAGCTTTTGCCCCAACCATACTGAGGATTACTTTGTTGCACCAAAATTTGATTGCCACACCCCTACAGATGGGCTTTTGAGGACTACCCAGAGTTTGCTATTCCAGATATTAATGTAATAAGCATCTTCCACTTATAGCTAGTTCCTCCTTCAAGACTATTTTCTCAGGATAAATATCAAGGGCAATGGATCATCATATTATCCCCAAAGCTTGTAAAAATTTGGATGGTCAAAAGTAGTGTCTGCATACATGATTTTCAATCCAGTGTCATCAACTTCGGGTATTAATAATGCTTTCTTAGATAATTGATGCAGTTCACTTTCATCTCCTCAGTCAAGATTAAGAATTAACATTTTCAAGAAGTTCTTCCCTTCATATTACTTCATATGTGAATTTTTGTTTGTATCTTCTTTTCAGCTCATCCTGTCCTTTTGTGTGTGTAAATCTAGGCATTAGTCAACACCTCAGACACATGCAGGAGATATAAATCACAGGCAGTATGCAAAGCTTTGAGTCAGGTCCTTAACATGGAGTTAGTGCAGCCGTACTGACAAGGTAACCTTTCTTTCCAGTCAGTCACCTGTTGGGCCACGACTGAGGTAGACCGGAGGGTTAATGATATAAATGTGCTCTGTGCCTCAGGTGCTGTGTTAAGCACTTTACATGAACATTTCACTCATCCTTACAAGGACTGAGAAGCAGACCTTAGAATCTCAATTTTACAGGTGTAGCTAAAGAAGGAAAGTGATTGCTCCAACATCCCTGAGGTCAGCTGAGATTCAAATCCAGATCCATGGGTCTGAAAAGCTATGAGGGAACTACCTCATTTGCTTCTGGATGAAAACCATGATCAGAGGATTTAAAAAGTAATTGGTGCAGTGATGCTATACTTCCCCCGAAGGAACTCAGAGTTGCCTGAATGGAAGACTGGAAAGTATTTCAATAAAGATATATTTGGTCAGGAAGCCATGGGGACACAGGTGAGAAGTTGTCACTGAGGATCTGAGGAAGGCTCATGGAGGAGGTGGTGCCCCATGAGGTGACAGTGGTAACTTGACTCCTGAGCAAGGTCAGGACAAGATCAAGCTCAAGAGAGAAGAGAGGCTCAAAGGCCAGTCTTTGCAGAGAATATGTGCCCGGAAGTAAAAGGGCTGATGAGAGCTGACAGAGGGAAAGCTTAATATCAGGTGGACTTGATTGTAAACCCTGCTTCTTCTTTCTGGCTACATCATTAGATGGCCATTTACTCTCTGCACTTCATTTTGCCCATCTGCAAAACAAGAATAATGATTTTGTCAGCTGTTAAGAAGACCTAGAGCTCAGTCTGGTACCTGGCAAATCAAACAAATGTGTTGTTAAAGCTGCCACCTCTGGGGACCTCTCATGTCTCTAGCCTCTCCTCCCCCTTTCAACAGCAAATCTGAGAGGGGAGCCCATGACAAGTAGCCTCCAAGGGCACCCCGCTGTGAGCACCTACTTTCTCAACAAAAGAAGCAACCAGAGTGCAATGCACATTATCCAGGTTTGGATTTAGTTACACCTGGCCACTTGCAGCAGGGACCTGAAAACCTAGACAAGACATTCCCACTGAGGCTCAGCTTAATCAGCTGTAAATGGGACTTGCAAGTCATGCCTCCCAGGTAATCACGGCTCATGAGCAAAGTGCTCTGGACATGATGGGCCCTCAGTATTTGACGGACGCTCCCTAAAACCCAGCTCCTATTTGATGGACCTGCTCCTGTGACCACTACACATGGACACCACAGTGGTCTGACGCAGATGACGTGGTTGTGTTAATCTATACACAAGGGCAGTATCCCTTATTTGGGGACTTACCCAAGGGTCCCCATGACCCTTCAGCCTCCGGGGCACTGAGGCAGGGCCCATGGACTATAGCTGCGCCTCTGCCCGGGACCAAGTTCTCCACATCCTCCCCCAGCTATTGCGGGAAGAGGCATGACTCACTGGAGGGAAGAGGGCTGGCACCATCTCCCCCAGCCGCATGGGGCCAGCCAGCAGGCTTGTGGTTAAAGGACCTGCCTGGGTTGCAAAACAAGCCAGTGTGCTGTGCTCTGACATCACGTGATGTGGGCAGGCGGGGGGGGGGGCTTTTCTACCCTGGCTCACTGACTCCTGACTCACTGCACGCTCCTGCCAGTCACATGGCTCCCCCGGAGCCTCAGTTCCCCCAAGGGCTCTAAGCTGCTGAGCTTGTTTAGAG